TGGCTGCGCGTTCCTGCTCAGCGCGACGCTGGGAGACGGCCGCGAGCAGAGATTTTCCTTCCGTTTCCTGGAGTGAACAGAGTGCTCTTGACAGATGTAATACTGGGATACGATTTGAAATTGAACTTCTGTAATGATGTTAAAAACCTCGGTGACAGGACTATATGGAACTGGCTATGCTGTTTGGTTAGTGCAGACGGATGCTCCCTGCTGGCTGGCGCTTATGAAGTGTATTTATTTTCCATTTAATGTAATACTGTTTGCTAACCACCCTGTCTGTCTGCACGTTCAGGAACTGAAATTACGTACGGCCAAAGGACAGCGTCAGGCTAAGTTTTAGAAGAAAAGGCTTAACTATAAGAACATAGAGTTTTACAAGTTAAAGAACTTTATCGTTTTATAAACTTAAAATGGCCAAGTTTTATAAGAAAAAACACCAAGCTTAAAGCTTTTTCCACCTTGACACCAGCTGCAAAAGTCATCAGCTGCCCCTCTGGCAGTTTATGGTCAGTTGATTTTAAACCCCATCAGCCGACAGTGAGCGCTGTCAGACATTTGGAATAGCAAGAGCTGGCTCAGTGGACGACGTACACAGGTTGGGTACTGCTTCCTGTGGCACAGGAAGCTGCGGCTTTCAGGGATCCTTGCTCGCTGCAGCAGCTGTGACAGGGCTTTGCATCGCTCGGGGTGGTCAGAACCAGTTACAAATGTCACGGCAGACCAGTACGGGCGAGACGCTGCTGCGACAGCGAAGGATCGAGAGTGATGTGACTGAAAGGAAACCAGGTTGGAAGAGAAGAGGGTAGGGCAGCTAGTTACAAAGACTTGTGGTGGTACAGTGGTCTGTAACAAGCTTTACGCCGCAATGGTAACAAGTAAACAGCTTTAAAAACAACCCTGGGTTGGGGGACGAAACTGAAAACACGGCAGACCGCGGGTTCTTTCATTACCCATTCCAGCAGGTCAGGAGGCGCTCGGGCAGGTGGTGGTGGCCAGCAGAAGTTTCAGTGCAGGTGTTACAGACACATCATGCAAAATCTCTAACGGGGGTTTGCAGTTCTGGAAGGCATCTCAGACATGACCATGTCCCTTCTTTCCATAATTTCCTTTACATGTCCCTTTTCCACCCCAAGACTTGTGGCTACACATCAAGTTAAATAAAATCAAACCCTCTTCTGTTCGTTTCCTCTTACATTTTCAGGGAGGGAATGACTATGAGATTTTCACAGACTCCAGAACAGAAGGCCACAGCGTCACATCCCCACAGGATACACGAAGAATCTGCGAAGAGCTCTTTTTTAAGTAAAAGACTTGAAGAATTCACACTTACAAAACGGTTAAGAGAGTTTAGTGACTCCAAACATCTTCGTTCTGTACGGTCTTTGGTAGTTGGTCATGAATAGCAAGTGCCCTGCAGGTCACTCACTGCTGAAGGGAAGCGTTTGCCTGAATGGTGGACACAGCAGAGCTCACCGAGCACCATCCTCTCCCTCTTCCCATTTGCACAAGTGCTTTGTCTTCTTGTTGGTTGGTTGTGGGTTTTGTGTTGTTCTGGGGTTTTGCTGTCGATGTTTTTAAAGTCAGTATATCTGTAAAATTCCTTAGATGGTTACATCGAGGGGGGTTGGAGCAGATGATCTAACTGTAGTTGGTTTATGGTCTCAAAATTGGCCTGCAAGGCTTTTTCCCTAGTTTTTAATTTGAAGCTGCTATTTAAAAGATGAACATTTGAGAGTTGTTTTTTTTAAATACCACCTTGTGCTAATAAGGCATGAATTATAAGACATTTTCTTGTTTAAAACTTGAAGATGATTCTTTGTGGGGGTGGGAAGGTAGGACTGAGCCAGAATTCCCTGACCTCACACACATTCCTCGGCGTGGTCACCAGCTGCATCCAGCACCACCGCTGGAAGGGCTGGGCCAGCTGGAGCTGAAGCGACTCCGCGGCAGAGCTGCGGTGCCAGCGCACCGTGCGGTTCACGGGACCCGCGCTTTTTGCAGGCTGCTTTTGTAGCTAAACAGATAGAGTATAAAAGTTAATTAGAGCGACTTGAGCATAGCAGTGAAATACATTTCTGTCACTAATTGCATTTCTGCTTTCCCGGGTAAGACATCACGGGTAGATGAGATTTTAGTACTAAGAAAAATTACCTTAACTATGTTTCTATTAAAACTCAATTTGAAGCATGACAATCAGTGTAACTGTTAATGACTTTCTCATCTGGCATTAAGAAAATAATCTTGTGTATGAACAGGTCAATAAAGGAGAATAAAACTACATTGTATCATGAAAAATTACTATTTAATCCTGTCATTTTGGCAAATAAAGTACGTAAAGCAGACCTGTTGTACGCTGCCTGTCTGTTCCAAGCTACGAGTGACGTGAATCTCCCCATGTTTGTGTGATACTTACCCCGAAAAGAGAGGAGAACACAATCTTTGCGTACAAACTAGACTCCCCAAAAGGGCTTACAGCAGAGGAGGGGGAGCTGTGATGCACTTTGAGCATCAGACCTCTGTCATCTCCCAACACCCTTCCCACAGCCTACTTCCACAGGGTCATTCAGCTTCAACCATTCCAGTGGGAACAAGCTTTGGGCCAGAACGGTCGGCAGTGCAGGAAGGCTCAGTAATGCTGGCCAGATTTTCATGGCTGTGCTCTGTGCGTACGCGTGCGCGATGCAGCTGATTATCTGGCTACTTAATGCCTGGCTCTGTCCTGTATTTGCAGGAAATTACCTACAGAAAACATCCTGTACAGGACCAAAACCAGATTTGTCTTCAGCCTCAAATAGCGTTATCTGTGTGCACATACCTGCATATGGTAGATCTTAAGGTAGCTTGGTAGTGCCTCGTGCACAGCCGTTGCCAAGAGCTACGGTTTGGTCCTCTGCCTCTCCTTGCCAACAGATGAGAAGCAAACGGAAGAGACAGCAAACGACCCAAGCCACCCACACTGCCTCATCCCTCGTTCCCATCCTACTTTCTCCAGTGTGAGTTGTTTAAACACAGCAGGCACAAATCCCTCTGGCAGCCCCGGCTTGGCTCCCATCCCCTGAAGCCTGCCTGAAGGCCTGCTGCAGTGGTTTTGAACAGTGGCTGCTCTGTCTTGGGAGCCCCTTCTGCAATGTTCTGCCCTCCCTCCCCAAGTTTCGGCAGACGTGACAGTCTATGCCACCCCTCCCTCCTGCCCCCTACTATACCTTCCTATAAGTCACAAACAATGCAAATAAAAGTATTTACAGAATTATAGTGTGTTACACACTAACCTAATCAGCAGCTAGAAAAAGTGCTAAATTACTCCCTAATTGTTCTGTTCAGTTGATATTACAGTGCTTTTAAAAAAGCTTAACCACCACCATACAGGTGTGCATGTGCAGGCACCGGCCTTCTCCGACTGCAACGCTCAACACCTTCAACACCGACCACGCGAGAGCAGACCGGACACCTGAGAGCGTTACAATGGTCACGTTTATTGTAAAGGAAGCGGCATGTGATATTCCAACAAGCTGGATAGCGTTAAATCCAACACTACTCAGTCTTCGGGTTAATAAAACATAAACAAAACCCCCGAGACTCTGCTGCAGGCTGGTCATAAGGGAGCACTATCACGTCATACAGGACCAGCTAAGGGGAAAGAACCCATGACGGCAGTTACTGACCGCCATACACCTGCTCTCCCCAGGCCAGACCTCCACAGCTCACCTGCTGCGAAAGAGCCTTAGGACACCTCCTGACAGCAAGCACCTACTGTGAAAACTGCAAAAAGGCAACTGAAGTTTTACTGTTTCACAAAACTAACAGAAGAGTTTCATGCCATCTTTTTATTCTATTTGCCCAGTCAATAAAACCCCATTGTTAGGAACAGAGAAAAACGCTTCATTTGAAAAAAAAAAAGGTGTGGAAGGCAAATAGGAACAGAACCGATTGCGTTGCACTACACCTACATGAAACCTTGCAGGCAGAGAAGAGTCAGGGCAAGGGCGACCATACCACACCCTGCCAAGCAAGTTTTCCAGGGAACCCACTTCACCGAGACAGCTGAGCCTGTTAACTCGCTCACACGGCGTTTCATACATGAGATCTGAACGGCACACCACTTGCTTTCCAGAAGTGCCGTTACTCTGCCTGCCCAGGGAAACGCCACGCTCTCAGCGATGCGCAATCAAGGTGATCGTCAGCTCTGTCTCCAGGCAGCCACCGTCAGAGGCGATGAAGTATCCACCCCCCTACTGCTTTCTACCACTTACCTTGAAGGAAGGTTTTTAAATGTTGGTCTGTTTGATTTTTAATACTGGCCTATATAATCTGTCGCTGATCGACCATCAAGGCACCTACATAAGTCCACGAACAACCCAGGCTTTCCAACACGCTACTCCACACATCGCAGACGCACCACCTGCGGCTGGAGCACCTGGGGGCACCCAGCTCTGGCCGTCAGACCGTCACCACCCGATGGAGATTCTCCACCCCGCGGCAGCTGCTCTGTTTCCAAACCTCCTTCCACGAGGAAAACGAGGGCGGCCACGACCGCCTCTCTCGCGCAGAAGCATTCAGGCACCGTTACCAGCAGTAAGGGTACTCCAGCCCCTACAGAAGAGCAGCTCAAGGGAACACAGTGCTCACGCACCCCCGGGGGCTCTGCTACAGAAGAGCGCTCCTTCAAACCTCTCCCTGATCCCCCTGGGCGTTTACTCGAATCGCTTCACAAGAGAAAAGAAAACCCAAACCTCCCCCCCTCAACCAGGCACACAAACTCTTTAAAATATGGTTTTTGTAAACACATTATGCTAGGGGTCTTTTTTCCATTAGCATTTGAATTGCCTTTTTTTTTCTCCCCAGGCCAGCTGTAAAAAATGGTAATTTTGTCCCGCTTCTGCTTTATTGACAATGAAGTATTTCCTCCCGCACAATAGGTAGAATATTCTTAGGACAGGTCCCCTGCAGCCAGCTGGTGGGCAGTGACCAGGCAGGCAGCGCCGCGCTCCCTCGGGGACCCCTCAGGAGCTGATGACGTGCCCCGACCAGGTCTCGTGCTTGGTTCCGGGAGCCAGATGGGTGATCACCACCTCCACCGCCTGAAGCTTCTCATTCTTCGGAGGGATGGTGCACATCTTGTAGGTGACCTCGTCGCCCGCCACGGGAACATACTCGCCTTCGATACTGCGGAGGGGAAGCTTCGGTTAGTCACAAATGACCTAAACACGTTTTTAGGGCTTGTTTAACTTCTTATCATAATCATTGTCTTAGGGGCTCAAGATACTTCAGGGTTTTCTTACAGAGCACATCATCCACCAAAGCTTGAGGTTGACTTTGGTTGTCATGTAGCAATATCCTACGAAAACACTAAACACCAGCACCCTGAAAAAATAAACGCACACACAGGGGGGTTGGAACTTTAAGGTCC